AAACAGGATGAAGGGATGATGGGGGCTGAAGTGAACGACAGCAGGGCACTGCAGCACACTGGAGAGAGACATGAAAGAGGGAAACTCACAAAAGCAAAAGAATCTCTTATTTATTTCATTCAGTGGATCTTAAAAACGCTCAAGAGGGGAGCATGACGGTGGAGCTTATTGGATTTATTTCACACTATCTCGCTCACTTTCTCTCTCTTTCACTCTCCCTCTTTCTCTCATGCAGCCCTACACACATTTTCATTAGACAAACATATTAGACACACTTTCACACCCACAGACATGTGCCTTCTCAATTAAGATACATTTCTTTCCCTCTGTGTCTCCCCTTCATTCACTCTTCACTTCCTCTCTCTCTTAATCAAACAATCTAACTGTCAGTCCTTGCCCAATCAGTGTCCAACACACACACTTACACACATTTTCATTATGCACGCACATTAGAGACGCTTGCACATGATCACTGGCCTCATGTGTGCCTAAAAATGTCCTTTTTTTCAAATTACAGTCCCACAAACACACAGGATTACTTCACATTAGAGCGCCACCAACAGAAGCTCTTACTTTAACTAGATTTCAAAAAAGTAAGTATTTTGGAATTTCAGAAATTCAGTTTTTTTTCTGCTGCCAAATAAGGCAACACACATCTGAAAATTTCTCACTTTCAGTGTACACACACACACTCCTTTTCGTAGGGCTATGTCTTTAAGTCATAAATCTCTGTTTTGACATATTAGCATCACACAAGAATCATGCCACATCATCATACATCCTTTCTCTGCTCTGGAGTCATTCCCATCTGGTAAAACATATAAACGCTGCCAAAGACAAGATTACACATAAACTGGTCAGTTAGCGCAAAGGTTCTTGTAATGTAATGTAAATTGTAAACACGCTCTTTATTGTTAGAAACACATGTCTATATCTGTGTCTATGCCATCCTTGAAACTGTGCTCACTCTTTTTGTAGTATATTTGTGTTGACAGTCATTTTACTCGTCCTCCACCTCTCTCTTCCCCTAAACACTTTATCTGTCACTCTCTAATTTCTTTGTGGTTTTTTCAGTTTCCTCTAACTTCCCTCTTGTCTTGCCTGCCTTTCTCCTCCTCCTCTTCCTCCCAGTCTCTGAGCTTTGGCCAGAGGCGTGAGAAGGTTCCAGCTCAGTGAGCAGAAACCCTGCAGTCCTCCTCCTCCTCCTCTCTGCAAGAACCACTTCCTCTTCTCGTCCTTGTGTTGTACAGCCAATAACCCAGGAGAGGAGAGGAAAGTGAGAAGTGGAGTGAGAAACAAAGACAGAGAGGGCAAACACGAGACACTTAAGTATGTTCAAACTGCATTTCCCATGATACTTTTTCCAACAAGGGCCATTTCATAAGCCAAATGGTAATCAGACTTTTAAGATAAGTTAACACTGTATAGTTCAGAAAAGTTGCTGTCAGCAGCCTACACTCTACTTCTTTTCAGAAAGAAAGAAGGCGATGTTTCAGTGATGATGAAACTGCCCAGAAACAGATGTACCCCCAGGTTCATTCAAATCTGCACCACCTATTGGCAAGACAAGTAACAGCAGCTGCCGTTTTCTGGTGCAGATGCGTTGATTTGCGCCATCAACAGATAAGAAAAATAATGGCTGCTACAATTATACCACCTGTAGAATAAGTGTGGGTGATTAGCTGCTCTACATGTGTTTTTGTGTCATGGTGGACAGAAAATGACACAAAACATAAGGTAAATAGCCGCATTTATTCCTCTGTCTTATTTACGTACTTGTTTTACATCTCATTGTTTTACATCTCATTTCCGTAGGAAAGTAATGCTAATTAGGTTTTTCATCAAACCAAAGAAGAAATGTTTTTGTTTTCAACATATAGATTTCATTCCACTATATTCACTAAAGCATGATTCATATGTTTCAGTTTATGTTTAGGTACTCACAGCAATTGTTAAATGTTGTAATCCTTAAGATTTGATTTCATGGTGTGCATGGCACAAGTAGTTTTTCACACAAAGTTTGTTACCTTGCTGCGTAGTTGGAGGTGTGCAGCCTGTCAACTGTATCTTTTCATCTAACACTTCATCTCACGGAGGCTGTTCCTTCTTGTTTAAATACACTATATAATATCCACTGACAAAATGATAAAAGTGACCATAGTTTTGTTTTGTAGGCACATTTTTTTGATGACTGATCCCAGTCAGCGCTAACTGTGGTGACTTCACAATAAAAGCCTCCATGTGTTTTTTTAATGAAATTAGGTAGGATTAGGCAGCCAATCTGAATCAACACAGACTTCACCACTGACACCAAGAGAGATTATCAAAAATGGGTTTAATTGAGTCTTATGGATAATAACTTTTAGGTAAGGGGAAGACCACAGGTGTGGTTAGCTATTAACTTAGCACTAAGACACAATCTGTTTACTTTATAAACAACTTAGTAAAAACTTTAGTAACTTAAACCACCACCTCTCCCTAACCTCAAGAAGTACTTGATTATTGAGTATTGCCTACACCTGCATGCAACAACAACCCTGACCACTTCCTTACAATTTGTGTACATTTAAAAAATGTAAAACTACCTTAACTGGAAAAAAAAACATTAAACCTAATCCAGGCAGCATATACATTCCCTCAAAAAGTTTTTTGGCAACACATATTGGTACTTTATAAACATAATTTCTAGGAGACAGGGTTGCCCTGATTCGTCACTGGCTTGCTTTTTCTCTCGTCCATCACTCCCTCTCTCTCTTTCCCTCTCCATCCTTTCTTCTCAGTTCTCCTTCTTCTCTTCTCCCTTTTCACCACCTCTTTCCCACTCCTCACCCTTTTTTTCATTTTCTCTCCACTCTTCCCTCCTCCACTACCACCATCTCTCTATCTCACACACACACACACACATCTGCCTTCCTATCTTTTTCCTCCCTCCTCTCCTCCAATGTCATCATTCCTCCTCCTTCCTCCTACCTCCTTTCTCTAGTTTCCTTCCTTTCCTCCTGTCTCTCACCAGAGGTGAAATGCTGTACTTCTCTTCCTGAAGTCATTTCTATGTTAATGAGTCTCCTTGTGAGATAACACAGGCCTCAGACACACACACACACACACACACACACACACACACACACACACACACTCTGGCAGAGATAGTGAGAAGGATGATAGGACCTGTCACTGCTCTCTCTATTGATCTGTTCATGCAGTTATTTAATTATTAGCTATATTAATTCTTTCTCCTTTTCTCTCTTCGCCTTACTCATTTGTTTGTTTTTGAACACTTTAAATTCTTCTATTTCCTCCTTTGTTGATTTTGTAGTCTGTCCAAGAACCACCTGTTCCATCAGCTAAACAGCCAGCCGCTCTGTCAGTCAGCACATCACTTGCACCATCTTTAATTCACTTACAGCCTGATAGCCAGTCAGTAAATTAGCCAGTCAGTTAATTATGGCACTTAAACACTGAACCAGATTGACGCCAACATACAGCTAATCTGAAAATAATGTAATTTCTCAAAATACCAACACATCCCCATTTCACTAAGCATCATTGTCCACTCGTCTGTCTTTTGTCAGCTTGACAAACATGCACAGAAGCATAGATAGAAAGAGAAAAATAATTGTTTCTTGTAGATGCGCTTGGGTGTGGGTGTGTTCATTCATTTACACACAAGCACGCACAGAGAAATTACAGAGCCACCACTGATTCTCATTTATTAATGAATATGGGTCTGCATGCTCAGAGTGAAAGAAAGAAATAAGCTACCAGTAAATAAACACATCCAAATGACAATTAGAGAGGGGGGGGGGGAGCATTTATTCATCCCTGCAGTCATATCATTTGTATTGGTCTCCAGTGAGTTGACAGCCTTCCATCCATTGCTTTTTAAAAGGCAATACAATGAGCTTTAAAACAGCCAGATCTGTTCAGCCGCCTGCGGCACGCGCGCGCGCGCGCGCACACACACACACACACACACACACAAAAGACACTTACACATGTTCATATGTGCGCACCCTTGCACAGAACAGAGTCACGTGAACATCTAAGATATAAGACATAAACAGGCACACGCTTAAGCCTACTGTACATGCACACACACTCGTGCATCCATGTGCACACACCCACTCCAGCAGACTATGTTAAGTGAACTGTGAAGCTCAGACCGCCTTGTGTGGAAACCTTGCTGGAGTGAAAATCATTAAAAACGGTCCGTGGCTCTTTAAGTGGCGTCTCTGCTTCTCTCCCGGGCGCGATTCTTCATGCATCGCTTGCCAATCTCTCTCGTCCCCCCGCCCCCCTTCTTTTACGCTCTCTTCTAATCAGTGCGGTGCAGGGGCTGCTGGCGGAGGGCGGAGAGGAAAACAGAGGGGACAACAACGCTGCGCATCGAGTCAGCACCGAGGAAAGCGCCACAGCGCGTTCCGTCCTGCATTCAGTACCATGGACAGCTCTACAGACGCTTGTCTGTAAAACACTGCTTAAAAGCTAAATGCTGTATTTAAGACATTATAAGCGGGTTTATGAAGAAATCTGAACTACATTACTGTTTATAACACTCTGGTGTAGATATACTATACACTGAGTTTGACCATCATGGAAAACATGCCCAGTGCTTTGATGCTGGGGGTCTACCTTGCCTGACTACAGAAACATAAAGACGTGTCTCTGATAATATCTCGCTGGATCACTATGCAACACCCTTCTACTGAAACCTAAAATATTCTCTCCTCTGGACTGAGGCCCCCCATGCTTTATACTGACGGCGTTGCGGCGGTGGGTGGGACGTACAGCTGTGACTGCACATGATTAGCTCCTGAAGGGCGCTGTCACCCACGAGCCCAATCCGAGCCGAGCAGTGCGGCCTCAGGCGGAGTTTGAGGAGACGCGCGGTTAGTTTTAGTTTATGTTGGTTGGACCGAGAGGAGGAGGAGGAGGAAGACGAAGAGGAGGAGGAGGAGGAGGAGGCGACGGCTGTCATTTTTTTCATTTGTACCAACGGGCACGTTTCTCGGGAGCAAACCCAGGCGGGTGTAGCTGTCCTACAGGCTCCATCAGCAGGCGTCTTCGGACAGTCTGTCCCGGTGGTGGTTTGAACTTAGGTGGTGAGAGAGAGCGAACACGGCCGTTTTGGAGGAGGACTGATTAATCCCGTTTTGGTCTCATTTTTTGGTGCCTATTTAAAGCCCGTTCAACTTAAATACCCGTGCTGCGTGTCTCTTCACTGCAGATCATCATTTGTATTAGCGGCTGCGTGTTTGAACGAGTTTCTGTAGCCTATACTGTGGACATCGAGGAGGAAGGAGGAAAAACATGTCAGTGAGGCAACAGCTGGAGTGGAAAACACACGACGGATCTCAGTCAACGTCCAGCCTCTCTTCATAGCTGACGTATGGGCTTTATTCTTCCGTCCATTCAGTCATCAGCAGGAAACCGAACAAGACAGAATGAATCCACTGTGACGCCTCATATTTTGGCGCTAAGGAGATCCTTCACCGGTCAAAAAATCCAGCGGTGAGTGAGGGGTGAGCCGCCTAAACAATGATGCTTTAGTAGAAACACATTCTCTCCCTTGACTTATGCTGTGCGGTTACATCAGTCATTAAAACATACTAACCCCCCTTTTTGTTGTTTTAAAGATGGAGTCCCCCCACGCAGACCCTGGCTGTTAATGGTTAACAGATTTATAAGGGGGCTGTTTTGGGAAAGCAGCAGCAGAAGTTGAGAAGGGAAGAGGAAAGGAAAGAAGGAAAGAAGGAAGGAAGGAAGGAAGGAAGGCGAAGAAAGGAGAGATAGAGGGGAAACGCAGCAAAGAAGAAGAGGAGGGAGAAAGTCTCCGGTTAGTGGTGGAAGAGGCGGCTCTAACGCAGCTCGCCCTGCCTAACCCCGGGACTAATCAACGGAAGGAGGGACGGAGAAGCACAATGTGGCATAGCCGTCACCCTCCGCTCTGACTGAGTGAGGCCCGTGTCGGGTAGTCTGTGACAACCGGTGGTCGTTAAATCTCCGGTTTATGTGTGTGTGTGTGTGTGTGTGTGCGCGCGCGCGATGTGTATGAGGGTGGTGGTGAAAACCGGTTTTTGATGTGCGAGAAAGTGACGTGCAGCCCTCCCACCTTCCCGCCCTTTGCCACGAGCCTCTTCAACTCAAGGTACAAGGCAGCCAAGTAGTCCTACTTCATTTATTTGCTCCATGCTTATAAAAGTCGCCACCTTTACCCATATGTTCTTCCTATTTGTAATCATTTTTTGAGTGCCTGTCTGTTGAGCCCCTCACCCAGACTCTTCCAAGTCTCGCGGGATATAGGCCCTAAAAGGAAATAAAAAGGGTGAATCTAAAAGAGAGGAGGAGAAAAGCTCAAGACAAAAAGGAGCCGCCTATATGAAGATGCTGATGTGTGACCGCGGCGTCCAGATGCTCGTGACGACGGTGGGCGCGTTCGCCGCCTTCAGCCTCATGACCATCGCCGTCGGTACCGACTACTGGCTGTACTCGCGCGGGGTCTGCCGCGTGAAGAGCAGCGGCGACAACGACACGAGCCGCAAGAACGAGGAGGTGATGACGCACTCCGGCCTCTGGCGAACCTGCTGTCTGGAAGGTACGTGATCGGTCTGACTGACTGGCTGTCTGTCTCTCTGTCTCTTCCAGCGGTCTGCCTGCCTCCGTTTCTGTGTGTGTGTGTGTGTGTGTGTGTGGACATCTCTCTCTGTCTCTCTTTGTGTTACTGTGTATCTTTTCACTTGTCTGTCTTTTCCTAGTGTGTATCCGTGTGTGTTAAGTCTTTCTCTGTCCCCATGTGTAGTTGGCTAAATTCCCGAACATCTTTCCACACACACACATATAACACACACATGTCTCTCCTGCTGTCTGCCTCTGCCTGTCTATCACCAGAGGAGATGTGTGTGCATTTTCCTGTGTGAGTGTGACAGCGTCCCAAAATCCCACAAACTCTGCTGTCCTTTCCTGAGTTCACCCTCTGCATCCCTTCCTCTGCACCACAATACAATAGAATAGAATATTCATCGATCATGCCTATGGTTTGACTTCTGCTCTTGTTGTCATCACACTGCATAGCTGAACTGTAAAAATAAAGCGCTAACAGGCACACACACAGACAGCTGGCGGTGTTATTAGCCAGTCAGCTGCACCACTAACAAGTACCTGGATCTGCACACTGTTGCCAGGACTCCTGCGCATGGTGTTATTAGGAATTTATTCTTTTGAAGCCATCTTGTTGTGTTGTTGTTGGGAGCCAGGGATATATAGATGTGTGCAGCGGGGCGTGGCCTAGGTTGGTGCTGGGATCAGATGTGCATTTGCCAGTCACTACAACTGAGAGGCACCTGTGGATTTATGCACACATTTCCAAATTACACCCTGATTTAAGTCATAAATCTCTTCGTAAGAAACTGTGACATGACTGACCTGAAAATATTTAGAATAATGTGCTGGGCGGGTTTTTTTGAATCAGATTCTAGTGGCCATTTCAAGAACTCCATCTCCCATGTTCATCACACAGGTGTGGTGGTTGTTGCTTGTTCCTGTAGCATCAGTGCCATTTTTGACTCCCACAGTCAGCCCCACCTGTCATATTTAATTCTGACACACAATGGTCTAGCTTCACCTGTAAGAATGCAACATTTGTGCCAACTTCATTGCTTCCAGTCAGAAGTACATTCGAGTTCAGTAGTACCATTTGAGCACTTCTAGCACTTCTTGTTTGGCCTATGTCCTTATTTTGCATCGTTTGATTACGTAAGTGAGATGATAAAACCTAAAACTCAGGTTTACTGTCCCCATTAAATCATTTTTTCCAGCAACGCTCATGTTACTTGGCTTCAAATGCACATTCCCTTGTCTGTTGCTTCACATGCCTTGACTACAGTGTTGGATCGGCTCTCTGGTTCATGCAGCCATCTGATGTCCTATCCCGTGAACTTGGAAATCGAACCAAGACCAAGATAAGGGTTGAAGGGCCAGGGATAATTGGAGCAGATAGACAACCAAGAGAGATTAGATCAATTTGAAAGGGTAAAGCCTTTTCATTTGAGATCACTTTAATTGGTAAGCAGTTAAAGCGTACTGACAAAGTGAATGAAAGCTCTAATATCTCAAGAGAAATCAAAGACAGAAAGCACTGGTGACTGTGTTTGTGGGGCATTTTGGGGGCTCTGCAGATTTAAGTGCATCATCATGGGAAGACCTTTGAGATTGCAGCGTTGGTGTATTTGTGTGCATGTGTTAACTTTGGCTTCATGTCGTCCTCTGCCTTTCCTGGTGTCTTCTATGTGGAATCTCAAAAGAAGTGGAGATGCCACGATACCATTTTAAAATGTAGCTTTTTTATGTTTAAGAAAGTCAAATCACAGTTCCAGCCAAATTCACAGAAACCTACAAAAAATGTCTCTAAACAAGGCTTTTTTGAAGATATTTATTGATACCTGGCCATCTTTGTACTACTACGATTGCTTGTTGGCAGTATCATTATTATCATAGTATCGTTATTAATACATCCCATAGGACTACACTACAGATTCTGTACTATGGGGTATATTAAGAACAGGCAGCAGTTGAAAACCTGTCCACTACAACAGGCCTGCCACTGAAAGATGACATGATTGGATCTAGATAATTAATTTTTTGTTTTGGAGGGGGATCTCTATATAGCCTATGTGTATGTGAGCTCCTTGACAGGATGTTATTTCTCTTCAGTCAGTTCATACATTGGAGCTATTTACTGAACAACAGTATCCAACCCAGTAAACACAGATAGCAGCTCTTAAGTCCTGTCTTCATGGTGACATTGCTTTGCAGGGTGTCATAGCTCAAAACCCAGGTGATTGGTGAATAGCTTGCTGGTTAACTTTGGAGCTGTTCGAGGGTGTGTGTTTTTTCTCTTGTCTAGCTGTTTCATCCTACTTCTATTCTTTATGCTTTACCTAAACATTTTTGTACTAATTTTGCTGCTGAGCAGACTGAGATGAAACTGAAAACAAACCTTTTAAGACAATAAACAAAACATCTGATTGTTTCTTTAAGACCTGCGGGCCCATCATCTGTGGGGCCAAAGTAAATGTAGATTTTTCCTATCTGATGCTTCATTAGGACTTCTCACATAATTCAATGTATATTATTTGACTTTGAAAAAATCTTTGCATAGGGGCAAGTACACTTTGGTTTCATTACCATTAAAAAGATACATTGCCTCTAGTAGGACGTGTGTGTGTGTGTGTGTGTGTGTGTGTGTGTGTGTGTGTGTGTGTGTGTGTTTGTGTGTGGGATGCAGCCAGTCATAACCATCTCATTCTGGGGGGCATAGAAGGCTATTACAGGGCCAGATGGTGCAGGTATAAGGCTTTTTGAAGACACACTCTCATTTACATACAAAGTGAGACACATACACACACACGTACAAACACACACACACACACACACACACACTTGTAATTGAATGAATAAATAGACAAATTCTAGGATATTCCCAAGCCACCAAATAAGCACAGCTGCGGGAGCAATACGCCAAGTTAACACAATGTCAACACAATGTCAGTGCATGCACACACACACACACACACACACTCACAGGCTCACATGCAACAGACACAAAAACGTGCAGATGCACATATACTCACTCATGCACACACACAATAACACAACTAAAGTGAGTAAGTTCTCTTATCTCCTTTCTCATTCTGCCCATCTTATCCCCTCTTCGCTCGTTCTGGGTCCCTGGTTGTCACAGTTTTATAATTCATAAATGCCTCATAAACTGACAGGAAATGGATGTCTCTGACTCGTGTACATGTGGCTTGTACTCTGCCTGACAGTACGTAGATAGAGCAGTCATGCATATGTACTAATGGTGTATGTAGAGCATATAGCATGCAGCACATTTTACAGTGGCACAGTTTCTTTCACAGACAATATGGAGAAAGAAGAAGTGAGCCTTAAGAACTATCCTATTTTATCAAAGAAAAAAATAAGATGGATGAAAAGATGACTAAAGTGCATAAAGTGTGTTAGTTTTCTGTGGTGTGATTGGACTTCTTGTGTACTATGATAGTGTACAACCCCATTTACACCTTAACATGTAATAGGTAAGGTTCGAATTGTGATCAGATCTCAGCCAGATGTGATTGCAATCTGTACAGTTTGTCCACATTCTTAAAAAAAAAGTCCCAAAAAAATAGTTGAAAGCTCACGTTAAGTCCACCTCTTCTTATTATCTCAAGCTACCTTGTAAAAAGCTGCAAATGACCCCTTCTTCGGCATAGGAAAACTAAGTAGAGCCCCTACAGCAGCACTGGTTCCCTTGACCTGGGATTTACCATTTTTGTTGAAAAGTCTGCCGGACCTGCCGACCTATGTGCCACACATCCAGTAAAATCAAAGAAGCGTTGTTCTTCCCCTTAAAACATGGATTATTTATTTTTACAGGAAAGTGCACTTATTGTACATGACAACATATGTAAATGTATTGACTTGACTTATTAACATGACTGAAAACAGGAAATTTAGGAAATATAACACCAGAAGTGTATACTCTTTAAAGTAAAAGTTTCCACTGAATCCACATTTACAGGAATTAATAATGTTGTGTTTATAACGTCTCCAGATATAGATCACTTGTTAACACCAGGTGTAAATAGGGTCTATGTTACTGTAAGTGTAATGCACTTTAATGTACCCTTTATTCATGATGGTATGTGACAGTGTGTGTGGTCAGGTTGGGATTTTTGGCACGCAGTGAATATGTTGTTGTGTGTCTGCACAGGTGTACTGAGGCGTTAAGTTCCCTCTGTGATAAATGAGCACAAGGAAGCCAGGAAATGAGGGGAGATGGAGGGGGGGAGACAGAGCAAGCATGAATGAAGAGAGACCACAATGTGTATGAATGAAGCAGGGGAGAGACGGGTGGAGAAGGGGTGGTGGGTGGAAAGTGATGGATGAGCTGTGCACGGCCTCTGTTTCAGGTGAATCTCTGGGGAGTGTTTGACCACGCCGGGAATCTAAATGATTACCTGGTAATAGAGAGAAGGAACAGGGTTTTAAACAGAGAAGGGGACAAAAATGATCACCCAGGTGGCTGCGGGAGGAAAGAGAGAATGAAAGAGGAGGGAGGTGGGGGGGGGGAGGAATGACAGACACAGATGGAGAGCAAAATGAGGGGGGTAAGGGGTATTTGGAGGAGGTTGGAAAGAAAAAGAAATATACGCTATATGGCCAAAAGTATGAGGACACCCTTTTTAATATACCTTTGTGTGCTTTTAGTCTGTTTTGCAAGGTTCGAGCCATAATGTATTTTATTGTATTATAACAGTTTACTATTTTAGGATGCCTAATAACATCTGGCAAGGGGACTGCCGATGAAAACTAGCTTGTGGCTAACTCGGGTACGCTTACATTTGCTTGAATGTTGAACAGTGTACATTGTCCCTTTTCAAATAAACAAATAAATAAAAAAATAAATAAAAACACCCCTAGTTCCAATTAAGGGCAATCAAGCCGGCGCCCGCTTTCACTAATGCTCTTGTGGCTGAATGGGAGTGAATATCTGCGCCAGGGTCAAAATCCTATGTAGGGTGTAATAGCAACATG